CGATTTGGCTGCAGCCTCCCTAGGGCACCTCCCGCGGGCGCTGCCGGAGCGGGGCCGCTCACGCCGTGCGGGAACGCGGGTTCCCACCAGCGGGATCGGCAGGGAAGGCCACCCCACGCTCCCAGCGCCTCCGAACGCGCAGCACGGCGCTGCCCAACACCGCATCCCCAGAGCCTGCCCCTATCCACGGAAACACCCCCGCTGCGGAGCCGCACGGGGCCCGTGCCCGTTGGACACAGGTTATTTTAGGTTCTTGTCTCATAAGTGACTGAAATGACCATCAACACCCAGCAGTGACAGCTCCTGCGAGTCCCCCGTGCCCCGCACAGGCTCTTCCCTCCCTGCAGTTCCCAGCACCTGCCCTGTCCAGGACGGAGGCTCCCAGCTCCAGCACAGGGCTGTTCAGAGCCCCGCGGCTCCGCGGGCCAGGCCCCGCGCACGGGGCCAGGACACAGAACATCGGTACCTCCTTGGGAGTCCAGGGGGACGAGGAGGTGGCAGAGCAGACTCCAAAACACTCCCTGACACAAACTGAACGTCCGGGAGAACAGGAAAGCTACAGGGCTCGAGGCTGAGCAAAGCCAGAGGGTCAAAGACGGGGAGAGCTGCCCTGCAACAGACCCAAAGGGACCCTCGTCCCCATCCACCAGCACAAGTGAATTTTGCTCTCCAGCAATGGCCCAAGAGAAAGGAAAAGCAGTGACTCCAAGAAGAATGTGTTTCCTTCTCCCACCAGGATGAAAAGGGGAGCTTCCCCTTTTTAGTGCATCAAAAGTTACTGCCTTCTAGGAACAGAGGGTCTCTGATCTCTACTGTATTCCCAAGACTTGTGTTCAGAAAGTAAAGTTTCTAATTTCTGAAGTTGTGCAACACATAGACATGGAAAACATCGTATCTTTGCTATGTTCCTGATGGAAGAATAATTGTCCATCTGCCAGAACTCAGATATTTTAAAACGTGAGTCTTGCCACTCCCCAAAGTGTGCAAATCTAAATGCCAACACTTCAAGGCATCAAAAAGCTAGGGAAGACCTGGAAATCATTCGGTATTTTTCACCTGACTACCAGAATAGCAGGTGACAACAGCTCTTTCCAAACAGCCAAGCGCTCCTGTGTCCCTGCTAGGGAAGCACTGCCTACCTTTGCCAACCCTGCAACGCTGGCAGCTCCTTGCTAATTTGGATAGTTTAATCCAGATTCTTCCTCTGCTGGTAGCACTGCAACCAGTACCTTGGCGAGAAGTGTGGTTGGACAGGAGAACAGGACAGGTCTTTATGCAAGGAAGCAGCAAGTCCCCTACCCACGGTGACCCCAGGCAGACCTGGGCTGTGCTTGGGGAGCTATTCCTGAAAGGAGAAACAAAACCAAAATAAAACCAAACACAAACCAGACATGCAAATGTCCAGACATAAATAAATTAAAAAAAAATGCCTGGAAGTGGATGGGATGGAGGACAAGAGAGGGGGGAAAGGGACATTCAGAGACTCAGACGTTCCTGCACTCCGAGTCAGACCGCTGTGGAGGCTGCAACGACAGACAGGGTCACACATCAGCACTCGAGCCCTATCCTGGCCAGGAGGTTTTCCAGAGCTTCAAGTTTCTGGTTGGCTTCCTCGATGGCACTGTAGGTCTGCACGTTGCTGGTGATGTGGAAGCGGATGTCGTCAACCAGGGGGATGGAGTCGGTCTCCTGCCGCTCCTCCACCGCCTCCGCGTTCTCCTTCACCGCGGCCACAAACTCCTCCAACTCCACCAGCTGGATGGGGTGGACAACACGAACATTAGGAAAACCAGAAGGCAGGTAATGGGATGCAATGGGGTTGGGATAATGGGCTGAGCCACTACGGAGCCTGCAGGAGGGAGAGGAATGTTGAGGCTACGCTGAGACCCAAATCTTCCCCTGCCTTCTACTGGCAGCGCTCGGGGACGTGTCTGTAGATCCACACGTGCCACTAGGTGCATGTGCAGCGCTGACACAAAACTCCAGCAATTAATGGTGATAACTGCGAGGAATCCGCACCCCACACAGTGCAGCCCACCATGTGTCCAGCACTCGTGGCTCTGCCACTGGAACAACACACACAGACGTAAGCACTAACCCTTGGAGGAAGGATCCCCAGCAGCAGCTGGAGCCAGGAGCCGCTGCCAGGCACCCTTGGGCAGTGTCACGGGCAGGGCAGAGGGAGCCCGTGCCCAGCGGAGGGCCTAGACCCACAGATAACGCTCTCCCCGCCATGGCTCGCAGCCCCAGCACCACCAGAACGCAGCGGCTCTGTCTGTGCCCAAGCTGATCACCCCTCAGTGATTCTGCATGGAGTTCCCCAGAACCACGTGGCACGCTGAAGGTGACAGGCAGCTTCGTGCCTGGCCATGGCAGGCTGCTGACCCATGGACTGTGCTACATCCTCTGCCAAAACCTCTCCCTTGCTGGCAGCATCAGCCCTTCTCCACAAGACACTGCAGCTGATGATATTTTAACAGCTGGGCTGGCTCCATTTGTGTCAACACCCACAGGAAGGGACATCTGCAGTGCTGGGCCCAGGGACTCCTCTTCAGGCTAGAGAAGGAGGATGCAAGGGGAACACTGAAGCTTTGCCACTCTTGTAGCTCTTCCAGAAGCACATCAAGCCCGAGGTGCCAACTATTATTAAAGATCAAAGTACAGCCATAAAACCTGTCTACATCTATGGCTCGTTGTGCAGTTAGATTTATGGGCACATATGGCAGTGCCATGGGGGTGTTTCTGATACCTTCTCGATGATCTTTGCCATGTACTCCGTGCACTGGTCCTCCAGCCGCGTCAGCTGGAAGAGCTTGGCGATTCTCCAGATGCTGACGACGTTGTCCTCGTCGAGGATCTGCGCCAAGGTCCTGCCGCACAGGCGCTTGAGCCCGGGCAGCAGGTACATGTCTGCCACACACAGCACCTCGTAGGCGTTCTCTGGGGAGAGCTGGCAGCAAAAACAGGAGAATTACCCCCTCGTCCCACCCTCTGCACTTGCCACGGGTACCTTCTTCTCTCGTCTATTAGCAGAGATTTTCTGAACTGTGGCTTGGCCCATTAGGAGACAAGTGTCAATCCCACCCCTATATCAGGAGCTCAGTGTTTCAGGGTTAGGTCTTGCCCTAAGAGGGTGGCAGAGGTTTAGATTGCTGCACTTTGCTCACAAAGCAACATCACTTCCCTCCCCCTGCCCCCAACACACAATTCTCAAACGTCAGCCAACTCATCCTCCTGCTCCCATTTTCATGCCCTTTGGGAACTCCAAAGAGACCTGGCAGGAGTCTGATGACATGGAGAGGAGCATGAGAAGCATTAACCTATGTCCCAGCTCATCTGATGGACAGAAATCACAACTAGTAAAAAAGATATGACGGCAAAGAAACCCTGAATCACAGTGAAAGATCACCAGGGCAGCAAACATCCATGGCCAAAAGCTCTCTGGGCAGGCTTGCACAGACCACAGCCTTCTACAAGGACAGGCCTGCAGAGATCTCAGATCAGTGAACATGTAGAAGGACAGCAGCCCCTCTTTTCTGCTTTAAACACAGCTCCCAAAGAGTAATCATCTCAAGCAGTTACAGTCAGAACCAAGACTCATTAAAAAACATCTCAGTATCTAAAAGAGAAGGTCAAATCTATCCTTGATGCATATGAGACCTTCAAGACCACGAACATTTTGACATCTGTATCGACGCTGGATGAAGCACAAAGAAGAACAAACCCAGCAGCACAAGGATACCTCCAAGGACAGAAAACCTCATCCCAAATAAACTTTGCTTTGTTAGGCATCAAACCAGGCTAAACTCAGCTCCCCGATGCTCTCTGTTGCGCATGGCACTGAATGCTTTCAGAGTCTTGAGCTAGAAAACCGTCCTCCTGTTTCCCTCTTGGGTATTTTTGTTCCTTGCAAGTGATCTGATAGATGCTGTAGGTAACACTGGCGACACCACTGCCAGCTTCACTCAGTCTCTTCCCCCTGGCTGGGCAAATCCTATTTTAATCAGCCATCTGCGTCACTAACCTGCAAGCGGAGTCTTTCTGCACAGTTCTGTTCCTGCTACCATGAGGTGCCAAGAGTGCAGTTACCCATGTGCACTTCAGCAGCGGCCCTGGCCGTGCACCCTGGCTTTGCAGGAGGCCACATCACTGCACCAAGAGACGCAGGTCCAGAGCGAGGAGCTGCAACGCTGCTGCGGCGCGGAGCATCACCCCGATAACCATTCGGCAGCAAAAACGCCTGCACGTGTGGCCGGTCACTCTGACAACTGCACAAAGCCAATTATTTCGTCCCCTACAGCTGTCCACATCGGTGACCGCCGAGCCTGCTCCGAGCAAATGCCGCAGCCGTGTAACATCCTGCAGCAGCTGTGCACGAGGATGCAAAATGTATCCGAGGCGTGCCACAAATCCTGCCGTGCCACAGCGGCACAGCAAAGCTCTTGGGCTTATTCATCAAGTGCTGCTTTGTCCTCTCGTAAAGCTCCAGGAACCGCACAGGCTGGAGGCGTTTGAGCAGTGGTGTTGATGGCAGCAGCTCCCAGCTGTTTTGATAAAGGACAGACCTGGCAAACGTTTCCCTGAAAGCTCCCCTTCAGCCCATGTTCTTACCAGCAAATTCTCTTTCTGCCTGGAACCCCCCCAGTCCTCTGCACTCGCTCTCCATCCTGGCTACAAGCACTGTCACTGCTACAAGGCAGCGAGAGGAATTCAAATCTTTTTCAAAAAAAGGAAGTGGAACTGGGAGTGCTGACATTTGGCTGGCTAAACCCAAGGGGGAGAAAAAGCACTGCACAGACATGTGGAACTGGAACTATATTCCTGCTTTCTTCGCCATTTTTTCCAGGCATCTTTTCAAGACAGATGAACTCTCCACACAAGTTTATGTTTGTTGCTTAGTTTGATGTCCAGTCTAGTTTCTGTGATGGCATCATTCTTCGTAAGAAACATGTAAGCAAGACATTTTCCAATCCTACACCTTTTTTTCAGTCCATCTTCCTGCTCTGAGATGAGCTCTCAACTGCCAAATCAGGACGGCCTGGGCATCCTTTGGAGAAGATGGCCATCCCTCCTGCGAGCCAGCATGAGACAGGCAGGCAGGGGAACAGGCTACATTGCAATGCTTGTCACAAGGGCCTGGATGGTCCCCAAATGTCAACACACTTCCCTGCCTGTCTGCCTGCCCTGTCAGAGGGCGGCTGAGGGAAGAGTGCAGACAGGTGAAACAGTCTTTGGAACAGCACCAGCAACCCTGCTCTTGTTGCCTGGTGAGCCCCTCTCCCTGCTGCTGCTTGGGGTGGAAGAGGGCAGCAGAAACAAGGTCACAGCTGTGTGTGCTCCATATGCAGCACCCAGCCCAGAGCACTCACACAGCTTGGAAGAAGTGACACCGGCAGGTGGACAAGTGTCCCTGCTCGCTGCCTCCATGCCACAACGTGCCCTCGCATTGTGTAGCTAGTCTTGTGGCAAACATTTGCTGGAAAATCAAAGCAGGAGGCTGCTGAAACACAGAGATGTGCTGCACCTTCCATTAGGCTGCAAACTGGGTGGGTTGCGGTCATTTTGTTGCTGCTTGCGATACCGAGCACAGCGAGGCTTTAGTCTCCCAGTGGAACCCCTGCCCACCCCAGCAATAAATAACAGTGGCAGTAATGACTTGCTACAAATGGAAAAGAGGGTTGTGATGCCAAGAGTAAAAAAGCAGATATCTCTGACATTTCCACATCTCCAAATGCGTTCAAGTTGCCATCTAGTGGCAGCTGCTCACCTTGTCCTTCCAGAGAGCCCTAACAGGGGCAGTCTGCAAAGCCTGGCACTCTATCAGACCTACCTATGCAAACCAATTTCCAAGCTTCTGCCATGGAGTGAAAGGCTGTACACTTGCTTCCCAAATGTCACACACACAAAGCAGATCCCTGCTGGCTAGCAACAAGTCCCAGTATAGGGGTTCCCGAGACAAACGAATAGCCCAAACAGGGCACTAGGATTTAAGAAACCATCTCCAGGATGCTGTAGGAAGACACTGCTGTGAATACTTCTAGAATAAAGCCACAAAGGAGGAAAAGCTCCATGGCTGCCCTCACCTCAGTGTCATCGCTATAGATGTAGTAGAGGACCCGGATGAAAATATCTTCTGTGATGTTGTGGAGAGTCACCACAGGGATGCTGGGCTGCGTCTGCAACTCTTCACTCTCACTGAAATGGTCTTCAAGGAGGGCTTTGAAATAGTCACTGCGACCACAGAAAAATGCCTGCAAAGGCAGAAAGGTAAGAATGTCAGTACCTCTTCTCACTGCACCAAGCCCGACGGAACTAATAAACCAGCTGTCAGAGCAGCTCAAAGATGTTTCTGAAGTTCTGACTATGTAACACAGTCTCTCCCCACATTCTGAAGCTGCATTTCCAATCTGGGAGAGGGCTTTTCTTCTCCCTCTTCCTCCCTACCTACCTCACTATGCCTTATTTTCAAACATACCTATCCTGCATTAGTAAGTTTAAAGGTTTCAAAATTACCATCAGATTAGGGCAGAAGGCTGAGCGTGAGCACTCAAAATCCATTTTTATTGCTGTTGACTTGCAAAAAAAACAACCCCCTCTCCAAACATTGCACTCATAAGCCAACAGCAGGAGATTTTTCAGCGGCGAATGCTGCAGCTCAGTTCAGTAATCTACCTGCTCACCCCTGCAAGAAGGGCAGGATTGGCTGTTCTAAGTGCTTCAGAAAGAGTCTCCAACCACAGTGAGACTGTTGGTTTTCCAGCTAATGAGGCAATGCTGCTTCTGCTGGGTGTACCCAGCCCTGGACAGGTGGGACGCACAGGCAGGCTCTGGGGAAGAACGAAGAGCAGCACAAGCACCTACCTTGTGACACAGAAAGTTATAATCTGCCACTCGGAAGCACACATCAGAGCAGCTGTTGAAGTTGTCAGTGCTGTCAAACGGCAACTCCCCAAAACCAACCTGGAAAGAGAAACCGGAACACCCTGGTTTTAGCAATTGTTGTGTAAGTACCCTCCGTGTGGCCCCAAATTTAGACTTCTCAGCCTTCCCAGACCCGGTCACCCATCTGTTCCCTCAGCACAGAGAGACAGAGATGCTCCCATCATGGGGTTTGGTGTCAAGGACTGGATTCCTAACTGGATCCTGACAGAGATATTGCTGACACCATTCAGCTGTTTCCTCTGTACAGAAGGGTCAGAAAGCTTCCATGGAACTCTGGAAAGCATTCCTGTGCCTTCAAGGAAAGCACATAAACTTCACTTCCACTCAGTTATTTCACATTGTGGGCACCATTAGCAGACTGCAGCTGATGATTGGCATGTTACCAAGTAGCTGCACAGGTGGATGGAGGTATAAACCAGCTTGAAAGGGTTTGCCTACAACTACTGCCTTGCTCAAATAATGCTACATTTCCAAAGCACATTTTAAATTTCTTATTTGATTTGCAGCCAAAGACAGTGTTGCTGCAGTATTAATACTCTAGTGAATTATTTTAACACCAACACACCTCCTCCCAGTCCCACATGCCAAAAAAGAGAGTGTAAAAAAATCTGTTGGCCTTCTGTTATTGTAAAATGACACTTTCAAGTATTTTCACTTTCACCTTATTCTATGCACAAGGTAATTCAGCTGTGGGGGGGAAAAAAGTTTATATTCACAGTCATGCAAGCAGAAAGGTTAATCTCTGGGAACAGCGACTCCTTGGTTCATGCTTCCCAGACACATGCTCCTGAGTTGCATGGGATGAGCAACTTATTTCTACTGCCTCTCACGCAGGAAGGTTAATCCCAAGTTTGCACCAGGAAAAACCCTTGACCAACCATCAAAACTGTTCTTCTAGCCACAGACTGTACAAGCAGCGTTTCCAACATGCCTGCCTGCAGCCTAACTGAGGAAATTTGCTCTGAGGCTTTCTGAGGACGGAGGTAACCGGCCCCGCAGGCCGGGGAGGGCCGCAGGCCGGGTAGGCCGCGCGCGGCGGCGCTCAGGTCGCCCTCTCAAGGCGCTCCGGGCCGTGGCACCTCCGCACACAGCAGCCTGCCTCTGTCCTCAGCAACGTCTGGCACTTTCTGCACCCTAATTACAGCAGGGCTAAGGGCAGGGACATTCAGAGAGGGCACGTGGCTGTCACGCTCAGGCCTCCTCCCCACAGGCTCTCCCTGCTACGGGGCCTTTGTTACCGTCCTCCTCTCCGGGAGGACGCAGCGATTTGGGGATCCTCCTGTCTCTTTGTCCCCCTTTAGAGATTCCAGGCTGCTGTTTTGCTCTCAACTCTGTCTGGCGTTTCAAGGCAATGAAGAAGCCCCAGGCTGTCATAGAAGCTGGTAGCCGCGATGCCACTGCCTGCTCTCTTTGTCACGCTGCTGTCTCCACTCCGTGTGAGCCACGTCCACACGTTCTCTTAGTAACGACCTTCAGCGTTATAAATTCACAGGCATATTACAGAAAAATACACCCCGAAAAAGGCTTTCCATGAGGTGCCACTCTTCACAGTGCAAGAAATTTAGATTGAGACATAATCTCCCCAACTTTACACATTTCTCATCTTTGCTTCTCTTTCATTTCCCAAACATAGATCTTGAGATGCCTCTGGGATGAACACGGGGTTTTATTTCGGTCAAAGTTTGTCTCCTGAATTCCAAAATCCTGGCTCAGTTTCCTGCTTCTATCTTTGGCTGGTTCCACTCTGATACTGAGGGCTACAAGGTCATGTCCAACCCCTACTACAAAAGCAGGCTCGTGTCTTTGTCTCGCCTATTCACCACGGAGTGGCTCTGTAGAGTCTTCTCTTTTATTTCTCTACTTTCTCTGCTCTCCTTCCTTGTCACAGTGAGAAATTTCCCCTCCCTTTCAGGGGCTCCCTGTAGAAAGTCCAGGAGTGTTTTCCACTTTCCATTCAAGCAACCTCTTGAGCACAGCCCTGTCTAGGCAAAGCACAGCTGCCAGTTAAGCATATTGCCCGAGAAGCACAAAACAGACTAGTCTACAAAGCACAAACACATTACAAGAACGCCTTCCATACAGAAATATTCCTGACACTCATACAGAATCAGTCTACTTGAACACACACATGATCTTCCAGCCACCAAATGTGGAACAGCAAATCTTTGCTGCTAAGAATTTGCTATTAATGCTTGAACAGAAATGTTGCTGGGGGCAACAACACTCCAAACAGATCAGTGGCAACAGCCTCCTATTCAAGGTACAGTCTATCTCAGCAAGAATATTTACTTGTAAATAAATTACAAACACATAATACAGGGGTTAGTGACCCAAGAGAAGATTACCAGCCCATAATGAGATGCAACTGGATCACATAAAACCTGGAAATAGCACAGAGCTCTGTTAATGTGCCCGTGCCAAGCAAAGCAAAGCACAGGAATAATTGCCAAGGACAAATCACCCCTGCAACATGCATACAGTGCAGAGAGGCACAGGATGGTACCAATTAATTTTCTTCCAAAGTTTTCTTCCTATGCATTACAGAATTTAGCTTTACACCACAGGTGACAGTCACATTTTTGCTGCAGCACTAAGTGTCAAAGTAGGTGGAAAAAAAACAGTCTTTTTTTTCATGGAAAACTGATCTTACTTCATTTTGATTTGGAAAGCAAGATTTCAATTCAAAGAGAATAGAAAAAATCTGCTACAAGGAGGCGATGTGCCTGTGGTCTCATACTCAAAGTGCTCAAGTCTCTAACTCAGAGGTCACCCAGCAGACAGTGGAAAAACACAAGGTTTTTGACAAACATCTGGCTTCTGATGGAGCTTTAGTGATGAATGTGATGTTGCGGCCTGAAAGATTCTGGCCATTTTTAGTTTGAAACAAAACAGAGACAACCATGCTTTTAAAAACATACATGGAAAAAGAAAATACTTCCTAGTATAAACAGGAATGAAAAACTAGACAGGAAGATTATAAGTATGTTTAAGAGTTCCAAGAAGAGACAGTTCTTCTTTAAAAGCTAATAATAAACTGTGATTGAATATCAAAGACATCAAATTTTACGAAAATTTTAAGTTTAATCACATAAAAATATTAATCACACAGTTTGCAACTGAACTGTGAAATTAAGATATTTCACAGTTTCCTGCATCACTCTAATATAAAAAGCATTACATGTGAATTACTTGTTTAGATATAGAAACTTGTAAACATCCCAATTTCCTTTAATACAGCCTTATATAGCATGAAGCAGTTCCTAAAGTTTCTTGTCAAGTTCTGATCATTACCTGAAATGCCTTCAGGAAATGTTGGCATCTATCCAGAAGCTGAATACTAATTTTGCTTTGCATAGGCTGGAAAACAGGCAAATGTTTCTCTCAAGAATGCAGATGCTTGAATAAGACTATTCACTTGCCTCTGACATTTTGGGTTAAATGATTTATATACTATTCCCTTACATGGTATGGTATCAAAACCTTTAATAATGGAACTGTGGGATTCCTCTATCCCAAAACAAATGTGCCTAGTTCACAGAACTTAACAGTTTGCAAACATTAAGAAGAGATATGAATGGCAATAGCATGATGATCTTTGTTCATATAGTCTTTGTAAGCTAACCGAAAAAAAGAAAAAAAAAAGTGAGAAGTAAAACAGGGGAATCTTTTGGAATCAGACTCAAACACAGCATCCACATTAGTATGTGGCATAAATTCTCCAGTAAATAAATGTGTGTCCAAGCCCTTTCAGTTTTATACCCACAAGTCTAAAGTTACTGTAACTGCCTTCTCTCTGATCTACGAATGCAGCAAGGAAATGACAACTCACAGAAATCCACAGTGATGTCGGCTGATTATATTATTCCAAATTTCGTATTTTCCTCCCAGCTCCTATTCTGCATTGAAGAACTAAAAATAAAGAGTTTCTAGCCCTGAACAAGAAAGTGGAAATGTGAAGTTTATTCACACACAGTGTGAAGGATCCTCTCTGCTTCAGCACAATTCCCCAGCTCTCCAGCAGTCAGGTCCATTTTAGCAGGGTGGGGAGGTGGGAAGCAATAAACTTTGCTACATCCCTCAGTCATACAATCCCTGGGCACAGAGCCACCTAAAATGAGTTCGTATTGTTAAACTCGGTGCTCAGTATGGGAAATAGAAAAAAGGGGCATGGATAGAAGAGCAAAGTGTATCTGCTGATATTATGCAGAACAAGAAATGCAGGGAGGATGAAGACCAATAATATTTATCCTGTTCTCTGCAACTGGAAGCGGAGATTTACAAATATAACTGAAAATCCTGGTGGTATTTTAACATAGTGATCACCAGCATGTTGGGTCTGTGGGCTATTTCTAAGGCTGCAGGAGAGCAACTACAAGAAGCAAACCTACTGTCAGTCAAGTTAATTTCACTTCAGAAGGGCTCACATTTCTGCTGAAGGGTTTGAAAGCACTGCAGGGGGGCGTTCCTAACAAGTAAGCCCAGCAAGCCATCTTCCAGCTATATGTCCCTCCAGGCACACAGGCCTCCTGAGAAAGTGTTTCTCATACTCAAGAAGAGCGGCAGGGAGAGGGAAAAGAGGCCAAGCCCTGCTCCCTTGCAGGCAGTGGGGAAACTCCTGCTAACGGCATCGCAAGGGTTTGCTTTACTCAGATCCCTGCTGAGGGACCGGCACAGACAGCCTCATTACACAATTTTACAGCCCTCCTAGGCAATAAAAGGCTTTAGTATTTGCAAAAACTGGCTTGGGGCATTAATACCGAGAAATAAGCAACCACCAAACCCAAATAGAGAGAGCGAGAATGAACATATGTGAACACGCATCGCAGCCCCACAGAGACCGTAAGAAGAATAAACGCTCCCTACCCGCAGTTCGGCTGGCAGGGCGCAGTCTGCTAGAAGGGCCAGATCTTCCTGCAGCCGGCAGTTACCTGCGGGCTCAATCGTCAGCACTTTCACACAGGTCCCTGGCTTGGAAGAGACTGGAAGAAGCAAAAAAAAAAAAAAGAAAAAAAAAAAACAGCAGAGATGCCTAAATTCCTCTGCAAAGATTCTCTCCTGCTCAGAGAAAAGAAAAAACTCCAGGGAACATCAGTATTTTTGCTGTGTAGCTTTGACTGCAAGACACCGGTGATGCCTCCATGCACACATGCACACAGCACCCCTCGCTGCAGCCGACAAGCAGGGTTGGAAGGGGATACAAGTTCTATTGTCTCTCCTCTAACTCCCACTTGTTCCTTGCATCAAGAGGTTAAATGTAGCAAACAGAGCTGCCCAAAGCACATTTCAAGCTGCTCTGCCCTCTGCAACCTTTGTCATCAATTACAGTCAAGGGCTGTCCTCTAAAGGCTGCCCCGACCCTTAAGAGCCACAGGGTGACCCTATCCTGCCTCCCACAAGCAGCCAGCCCTACCACGGACAGCTTGACAGCTGTGGAGTCCATTGCAGGGAGCATTTGGCTGAAATAAAGTCCAACCCCTCTGTCCTGTTCCAGCGATGACATCGGAACTCCATTCCAGGGTACAGCCTGGAGCAGCTCATAGGTGCTGGACATCAGGATGGGCCCTCTGCTCTGTACTGGTAGATCCTATAGCACAAAGACCTCCAAACCACCTGGACTCCTCACTGTGCCCGTGCTGTGTTCAACCATTAAATAACCATTGCTACTACCAAAGAGACCAAGTGAACCTTATAGAGGCAGCAAATTCATTTTCCACAGGTTTTGCATGGAAGCAGGCTGATAAAAGGGAGGCCAAATATATGCAACTTGCTTTGGGGTCTTGCTATGACCAAAGCTGGGGACAGACATCCCTACCCCTTTAGTTTAAATTAGGCCCTGCTGCAAGGGTGGAGCCCATCCCGCTGCTGCCACATCCACACAGAAGGGGTTGCTTTTCTTGAGGCCAAAGCACAGGTCCTCAATTTGCTCCAAAACTGACATCTTACCCACAGAAAAAACTAGAGTTCCTCCCAAAATTACTGGGAATAAAGCCATTTGCCATCTCATGAGAGACATGAGATTTAAGCCTGTCATCCCTCCTCTTTGCTTGCCCTGCCCAGTTCAGAAAAAGCCGCTTGCTGTAGGACTTGTAAAGCCTTTTCCAGGGGGAATGCAACCCAAGCCAGTATTCTGGCATAACTAAGCACAGCCTGCAAAACTTGAGAATTTCTTCCAGCTTTGTGGAGATGCAGCTTTGTGAATAACTCCTGAAGTCTGTCCAAATATTGCACCTACGGCTGCCAGCCCGGTCACGCTGCACTGTGGCCACGTCCCTCCACACCCACCATCTCTGGCCTGGTTTCAGCTCAGCTTGCCTGGAGCTGAGGGCTGGAGCCTGCAGGACAATCAGGAGTCCTTGGCACATAGGGAAGCACGGGAGAAGCATGGAGCACCCCTTGGAAAGGCGAAGCTGTGGTGCAGGAGGCTTGGGCTGCTCTTGGTAGCCACAGGAAAGTGAGGTTAACTCTCAAGGACAAAAGTGTCAGGCCCCACGCTGAGGTGTTCAGAAGGATTCCTGACGGGATGATTCACCGCATTAAGACTCCTCACAGGTGAATCACCCCATCCTGAAACCTCCTTTTTTCCTGACATTTTGCGCAGCGCTACATGAGCCCCGTGAGGCGACTCCCTTGGGCTGTGGGCGAAACAAGACCGTGCCACAAAACGAGTCCTCCACGGCCTCCTGCACCTTGCTGCAGTGCCCTCCAGCTCTGCCACGCTGCACCTCCCGCAGGCTGAGCCCCTCAGGAAGGGCTGAGAAGGGGCAGGAGAATCAACTGGCACAAGAGGGTTTGGGAGGCACCGCTGCTACACACAGCCACTCCAGTGAGGAGACGGGAGGCTCCAGCAGGTCTGAATCCACACAGGAAACTTGTGGAGCAAATAAGCCCAGGGGAGAGCTGGCACCAGCACTAACAGGACTGACTGCGCTTTGCAAAGAGTCCGCGTACAGACCAGGAGGGGAGAAGAAAACTTCTCCCTGTGCAGCCAGAAATTCTTCCTGGCAGAGCATCATCTAGATTTGTGCAGTGCCTATTAAAGCAGAGTTTCCAAATTCATCGGGCTCTCTAAAACTTGCTGTTTGCATTAGTGTTTAAACACTAGTCAAGGAAAGACTTCTCCTCATGGGATCTACAAAGCAGCTGGGCACTTTCTTAGCAACATGAAAGAACAGTCATACACCTGAGAAGCACATGTATCACAAGACATTTCAGACAGTCCAGTTCTCAAATCCAAGAGCACAGCATTTGCTATCACAAGCAATTCTATTCCAGTGAAAACAAAAAATCTAAGCAACAGAACAGGAAAAAGATGTTGCCTGCAAGCAAGCAGCGGGAAGGATCAACTCCTTATAAAATGTGGGAATGAAGGGTTTTCTGGGAAGAGCAACATCAACAATGCTGGAGGGAATAACCCAGCTACAGTTGAGAATGAAGTGTTTTGTTTTACTTCCCATTCTAGCCCAGCTGTAGAGCACTGAATGTCACCCATGGATTCATTAGCTGCCTTTGTTTTCACTATTCAATACGTCTTTGTAGTCTTTTGTTTCAGTGGAGCTAATGCACCACTCAAAAAGGAGAAAAAAAAAAGAAAGAAAAAAACATTATGAAAAACTTTCCAAAATCCCCCCAAACCCAAAACTGAGATACCTGCATTACTCATCCTATTCACAACACCATGACTGGCTATATCCACTGACTGTACATCCATGGCCTCTGCTAAAGGCCAGCACCACAACCCCTGCTCAAAGGCCTTGTGCCCTACGCGTACAAATGATCCTGGAACATTTATTTTCAAATACTTCCACATTTCAAAGAAGGGTTATGACTTAACCTGGACAAACTCTGTCAGAGCTTTTCCTAACACTGCAACAGGTTTGTTAGCCACAATATGCAGGTGGGTTAGAAGAAGGATGCAGTTACACAGACATTTATCTGAGCTGCAACAGAAGGCATTGGGTCATCCTCGGCAGGGTTTTCCTAAACTACTGCCTGTGCGTGCCAAGGCACTAAGCGCTTCTGAAATGCTGATTTAACCCTGCACAATGAGGCTGCAGAGACTGCAATTATCCACCGGGGCTGCGCAGGCTTAAATTCACATTGTTTTATTAAGCATGTTTCAGCTTTGTAAGAGATGCAACACATGACCCTCTGCAGAGCCAGATGCTCTGCATACACGAATCCCATGTCTGTGCCACAAAAGACACTTTGAAGAAGCAGGGATTCCTAGGGCTCTACAGGAAATAGTAATGATGAGTGCTAGCCAGGATATCCAAAGGGCTTTCTCATTTCCTGACTTCTGTAACTCTTATATGTATTATTTTCTGAGGATTCAGTAACAATTTTCCCAGCACCCACACAAGATCCAAGATGCACGTATTTAATAGATTTATCAGTGTTACAGGTTACTTCACCATGTTCTAATTCTGAGCATGCCAAGAACTCAATGTTTCTGCAGTTCAGTGATTTAACCACTGGACTTCGTGTTACTAAGTCAACAGTGACACACTGTGCAGTGGACTCAACCAGCAGCTACCAAACCATCCACCTCCTCACACAATCTGAGACTTATCTTAATGGATTAATGTAGAACGGTTTCAACATACTACAGCTAGGCCCTGAAAAAACAAAACAAAGCAACCCACCAAAAACTGATCTCTCTACTATCACTGGATTACTGAGATACAGGGAAATGACACAAGGTAATTCTGTTATGCAATTGCCTCAGTAATTTTATTTTCTAGGCATGGTCTTCCTCATCCCTCCCCTCTTTTACCACCTATTTAATAAAGAGATTATTATTTAGTAATACCTTACACATATTTGTAGCAAGGAACCAGGAAATGCATTTCAGGTCTCTTCAGAGGTGTTTACACAGCTGAGGCAAGACTTAGGATACAGCTTCTTTTATGCAAGGACTTGCACCCTGGTCTATATGAGAACAGCTGTACTGTGGTAACCTAATATCCTACCAACAACAAACAACTGTGCCTGCCTTGGGAGAAGAATATACACAGCAGTATATTCCACAGGAGCTGCAGCTGAGAAACTTCTTGAATCAGAAGTATTGTCTGTATCTGCTAAGCCATGCAACTTTAGGAGGCTGAAAAAAATCACAACTCACTGTTCAGAAAGAAAAGCCTGAATAGCTACAGCCTCACCTCCTAGATAAAGGAAAAACACGCTGCTGACTTAAATGTTACGGACTAGCTTCTCCTCTCAAGCCAAAATTAGCTTGACTGAAGTGAAAGAATTAACCTGGTGCATGAAGCAAGAATCAGATGTTTTCAACTTGAAGGTTTCATCAACTAATTCTTTGTGACTTAATGACTAACGCTGCTTTGTCCTACTTGTACTGTTTCAAAGCCTTTTCACATGTCCTTTAGCTTGAACTAAGCAGATGAATGAAAAACTCCCCTTGTTGGTTTTCATGCAATAATCTGATGTCATGATTAGTTTTTTGGTTAACAGAAAGCCTTTGAATAAATGATTGTACTTGTTAAGAGCTTGCGTACAAGTGTTAAAAATATCCATGTTTTCATAAATATTTCTAAGAAGAATTATATCCCTCTCTGCACACAGAACATTCATTTTAAGCTGATTATCAGATGTCTTACTTTGGTCAGGAATCATCTAAATGTAGAAGGGGACTTCCAGTTGTACATATTTATGTCCCCAGGGATTTAAGGGAGCTCTTTGCTGAAAGGCAGTCCCCAGTGAAGCGGTCAGCCACAGCAAAGCCCCACTGCCAGGGCCTTTCTACTGTAACGAAGATAATCAATGCAAATGATGGACATGCAGGCTCTATTGCAGCTCTACAGGGAGCCTGTGACTGAAAACTGTCATGCAAATATAGGAACTCCACAAGAGACTCATCTTCTGGAAGCACTGAGGGCATGACTGATGAAATATCCACCAACACACTCTCCTCTTTCCCCTGAAAAATGAATATTGGGTCAGCAGAGAAAACAACTGGTAAAAAAAAAACTTACCAAATTCATAGACTTTTTTACACTTGGTCTCCAAATCATCGATGAGGTCCTGCAGGCGGCACTGCTTGGCTAACCTCTTGCAATCATTTACATATTCTACATCGATATCAAGACGCCCTGACAAGAAAAAAATGCAGCCAGCTCTTATAAGCCATACCATTTAGGTGTAAGAACAGGAGATTGAAGCCCTGATGGCAGAGAAACAGAGTGATTAGATATAATGCCTCTCCTTTCAGCCTCCAGTTCCAACTCAGTCCAAGAACTAATACTTGGCACCCACCACCCATCCCTTGGGTGAATCTCAGCTTGGCATTTGATTCACATTCCCACCTCCTAGTTTCTGCCACAACAACTTCCTTTCAGAGGCCAAACAGGCTTAGACAGAAAACCTCCAATTCTCTCCCTCAGAGAAGGTGAGAGAGCAGTACAACAGACATGGGCATAACTGCCACCACGGGGTATCTGGTGAGAAAAGACTTGGTCCATGAGCTCTCATCCAAGAATCATTTACCATTGCTGAGGACAGGCAAGAAAAACTGCTGAAAACACTGAACTAGGAAACCATGAAGATAAAAGTTATTTTCTGGCACCACCTTCTGGTAGGAAATAGTTCAGCACTTCCATGTCTACAACACAACACATTTGGTACTTTGGTTGAAGGTTTAAGAACAACTTCTGTGTAGGAAAAGTACTGTATGTACATATACATATATATACATATGTATACATATATGTATATATACAGTATAAAACATGTAGTCAAATCATTCAGCATTCAGAGCTCAGGTCTGCCAGACTGAACATGTCCTATGAATGAACCTGGCTTTTCATCAGCTTTGGAGATCATTAGCCCAGATGACAAATATACTTTCCTAAGTTAAAAACACTTTTTCCACATCCATCCACCCAAATTCTGCTAAAGCTGATTTTTAATTGACTCTGTAATTATTGGCAGGGCAAACAACTGGCAAAAGGTACAACCAACTTGGCAGAGCAGGGGACTGCTCACACTCTGCCCTTCTGCCAGCCAAGAGGATGTGTTAGCAACTCATATACCCAATATGCAGCTATCTGCAAACCTGTGCCCCTAAACGGTGCCACAGCAGAGGCACCAACAACTACCCACCAAGCACATACAAACACACTAGACAGCAATAGTTTACCTGTGTACAGATACTGCAGAAGGGAGCCAAAGGCTGCTGGATTGATCTGAAATAAAATGAGAAAGTAACGTTTAGAATTTCCAGGAATTTACATAACAAGTTTAAAACTTGCCTGAACACAAACGTGATACTAAGTTGAAGGATACCAGCTGTATGGCCAGAGCTGGCCCGTGACAACTCAGACACAGCAGTCTCATGACAATTTCCTGGCCCCCCACATAACTAACCCTGTCACTCCACCTGGTTTAAACAGCTCTTCAAATGTATTAACTAATACTAACCCATGTGCCTAGGGGACCTGACTGATGGAGATGCTATAGGTTACAACAGAGGCTCTGTAAAGCCTGGTCTTTTACCAGTCCCAAACATTTCCACCTCTCCTGTTCATACTGTACAAAGGGAAAGAAGGAGAGACATTAGGCAATGTCCTAGAAAGCACAAGTGTGCTTGTCACAAGAGAGGCTCACGAGGCTTTGCACAGACACAATCAAACCACAGAAACATATGCCAGAGTGCTGGAGATTAACGGATGGAAGGCACTTATGGCCTACTTAGTTCTTGTCATAAAGGCAAGAAAGGAGACTCAATTAGTGGCAATTATAGAGGTGATGTCTTCGCTGCAGACCACCTGTTTACCAGGAATTAGACAGACTCAACTCATCCCACAGAGGAGTTGTGATGCAGCTGGCAGATGGTAACGGCTACCTGCTACCACCGCTAATTAAGATGTGTTTGTGCCCATGGCAGGGAGCACGAAGGGCAGGGAACAGTCTATAGCCTTTTCCTATCAGAGTAACATGTGCTTTCATGCACAAAGTGCCACCACAAGCCCTTCTAAGTCACTATGGTCATTCTGAGCTCCAGGACCTATTCACAGTCAACGTTAAGCCTCAAACTGTCCTTCCCACTCACTTTCCTCACACAGTTGAAAGAGCAAAAGAAAATAGAGACTTGGAAGCACAGCCTTGCTTACCAGTGGATGTTTCAACACTATCATGTTCTTCCCCTTCCATTTGGTCTCAAACATTTCAGCGAAGTAGGCGCTGCGAGCGCTGAGGATACAGCGATGGGCACAGAAAGATTTGCCATGAACGATGAAAACAATGTCACTTTGGTAACCCTGTTCCAGCAACCTGGAAGGAACAATGACAGAGGAAATTTGTTGTAAATGAAACAGGATTACGTCCGTGTTTTGGAATGGAAAAATGGTAGCAGGGAATGTGGTACAATTAGGCTCTGAACAGGTTACAGAGTACAGGGAAGGAGGCATTAAAAGACTGTTTTGCCAAGACACCTTTTATCAATGTGATGTTTACAACAGTAGCAGCAACCTGTGAGTCATAAGTTTATCTAACTGGTGTATAGTTCATGTTAGTATATGTTGGGCAAAACCAAGCAAACCTCAGAACACTAACATTTGCATTAGGCTGTCTTTACAAAGCAAAATAAGTGGGGAAATCTCCATCCCAAAGAGTGCTTTGACTAGCAAAAGTTACTTAATACTAGCCTGAATACTCGATCTTCACCCAAACAGTCTCTTTGTGATTATCAGAGCTGTTTATTTTTGCCCCCTCTGACGCCCTTTGCTGCAATTTTATCCTTGAGGTCTGTTTAGAAAGAGCAGCAGACAACACTGAACTTCGGTTCTCACATGAGCTCGGTCTTGCATCAACTGAGTCACAAATTCAGCAAAGTAGTGATAAAATCATCTTGCAACAATTCTACTTCCCTGAAAAGGAGAATCTGGTTTTACTTGATAAATGAGTTTTCTTCCTCTATTTTTTTTACCCCCACGACTTTCCAAATTAGAACTTTGTACTATTGGGAAGATTTTCAGATCTTTTTAAGACTTGTTTGCTTTCACACTTGGAAGATACAGATGTTGCAACCTCGCTTTTTGTTGTTTTTAGAAGTCACTCTAAGGAAAGGAAAAAAAGACATCTTTATAAAAACATCAGAATGACCCAAGCAGAGAAACAAAAGACTAGCACTATTTCTCTAATTCTAGAACAGGTTAGATTTGTAATCTCAAGGCTAATAGATTTGATCACTTCCCCCATAAGAACTCCTTAAAAAGCCCTTAATTGGTTATCTTGGAAACAAGACACCTATTACCATGGTTAGAAACCTCAGCTTGTGGGCTACAGCACTTCAGGCCTGAAACTTAATTTCACTTGACATATTATCCTAAATCACTGAGGCTTTTATAGTAATCTGATTTTGGTTTGACTGTCAAGGACGACAGCCTTGCACTTCTTCATTAGAAAGTCCAGCTTTCCACTGGCTCAGGGTCTGCACAAAGTCCATCTTTTAAGTGCACACATATCCTGAAGTCATCCCCTAGGGCAAGCAGGAAGCCCTGGATGCACAGGGATGACACAGGTATCCACTTAACCCTCGCTTAACAGACTGTTGAATATCCAAGATAGCAACTAAGAGGGGTAATAAAACGTGCCGCACGTGTAGCTGCCCCACTTGCTTACCGCTGTAGGAAGACATCATAGTAGTCTCTCTTCATGCACTTTGCTGTGATCTGCTTGTACTCCTTCAGCAGGCGTCGGATGGTGTCACTCAAAGCTCCATACAAACAACGCTCCCCATCAAAAGTGTTTGCCTCACATTTTGCTCCTGTAAAATGACGCAAAGTGTAAGTCCAACAGGCAGTTATTTTGCCTCGTGTGTGTCGCTAAATGGGTATGACTTTTGACTGGTGACAAGCTTCACTGGGTTCCCCTACCGAGCATAATAACTAACATTTAACTCCTCCCACATAAGCAAAACCTCAAATCCTTTCATGAAGGAATGTCAGGCATTAGGTTGACTTTGATAATAAGTCTCGCGGCATAAATCCAACATGGTCCAAGCAAGAAGACTCAATTGTATGAAGAGTAAGATCAGTTACCAAACTTTTCAAAGCTCCTCCTTAAAGGCATTTTTGCCTTGCAAAAGGCAAGGGGCGCCTTTTAAAGTTAGATTTACTAGATGTTTTGAAGGCACTTCCTTTTTTTATTATAGAACCCTACAGGTGGTCAGCGAGGTGTGCGAAATGCACTAGAAGAGACAAATCCTTCAAGATCCAACTATGATTTCAGAAAAGTCTTTTTGCCTAACGAATCATCAGACTCAGCTTCCTTATAGCAAATTCAAGCAGCAAGTAATCTGTAGAAGGGACCACAAAAGTGGGTCTAGGGTGACTGCTGACTCCCACTGAAGCTTGAGATCACTGATCAGATATCTGGTTATACCAGAAGAAAGTTTTATAACAGAAGAATAGAGACATCCAGAAGGTGTAAAATCCCTATGGACTGGTATGGAGGAAGGTATGGCAGCCATAAGCAGGAGGTCTTTGCTCACCATTGGCTAGAAGATAGCGCACGAGCTCTTCATGTCCACACAGGCAGGCATAATATCTGGAAGTAATAAGAGAAAGAAAATTAGAGATGCAATATGAAGAAAATTTCACTGCTAGGGTATACTGCAGGTTGCAGACCTCAGCACTGAGCTGACACTGATAAGCTTGGAAAATGATCCCTCCTAAAAGCATGAAATCGCTCCTCAATAGCACAGAAGCCTGACCCCTGCAACAGACTGAGCAGAATCTGTCCTGAGCAACGCTAGGCACTGCTGTCTACTGCTGCAAGGAGATCTCAAGGTCCCAGTCTTGGTTCAGCATCTTTTGTTGCACTGCGAGCTGCCAAACCTGCCTCCTCGCTTTAGCGGAGCGCGTTTATGAGTGCTCAGCAATTCCACTGCATCCTCACAACGTTCACTGTCAGTGCTGCTGCACTAAGATAATTGGGGAAGAGCACTCACAGCAGAGGTACAGCAAATGCTCCTCTCAAAGTCCTGTTTAAGGTGGGTTTGTTTGTCCTCCTTCTTCAAAGCTTTCTATGATTCTCCCTCACATGAGGACCTTCAATTATCCAACAAACTAGCCTTGTAACCTACACTGCAGCAGACAAATGTTAGTCCACTTTTACTTTGGCAAGGTATTCCATATACTAAGTATATTGCAGATGTCTAAATGCACTTCGGAACTGGCATGTGGGGAGCAAGAATTCCCTATCACCCTTTCAGTATCAGCAAGGGGATTCTCCACTACCTACCACACGTTCCCAGCCCCATGGGACAGACAGCAATCACAAAATTACTTTGCATATCACAAGCAAAGCCTTTACCTGAAAAGACATGCAAGAATGTCACCAGGTTTGAGAAAAAGAAAAAAAAAAAAGCCTAATCAGGCAAGAACAGACTTGTTAACTCAGGTAATTTGGCCACAAAATGAGCCATGCCTCTGTACACTCTACAGCAAGCCTCATTCATACGAGAGGAGAAAGACGTATTTAGCACAGTATCCGCAGAGGAGGGAAGCAGAAAACACATGGCCAAAGCTTCCACAAAACAGAACCCGAGCTATTTTGTAATAACGCCCCTCGGTGCTGATAGAGACAGCGAAAGCCCTGCCCTCCTGCCCGGGCCACACACGAGGCTGCAGGACTCACAGGGGGGTACTGTCCCATTTATCGCGGACATTGATTTCCACATCTCGCTGCTCAAGGAGGTATCTGGAAGAGAAGGAAGAGCAAAGTTATAACTCCATGCAGTTGCTCAGTGAGTCACACTCTCCCCTCTAAAGAGATGCAACTTTGGGTTTTGCACAGTAACTTCCAAAGGTTGGCCAAGAACTTGCACGAGAAGCAAGTGGGGAAGCTTGCTTGGGGGTGCTTGGGGGTGCTTGGGGAAGCACTAGCTGAAGGGACATCGGTTGATCACACAGCTGTGACCTGAAGAGCACAACTCTGCCACGTGTCCTGGTAGCTCCCTTCCTGCCGACCCCGGACGGCGTGCCAACCGCGAAGGAAGACTGAGCACTCCAGACACACCAGCACGTCCTTGTGCAACGCTCGCGGCCTAGACGCTTAAAAATAAGAGGGCAAATTTACAAGGCCACAGCTGGACTCCCATCCTGCTTGTGGCTTCTGTTGTCACAAGTAACAACATTGATCTCTCCAGGCAGTGCTTAATTCCTGTCACTGCCTTGTCCTGCCTGACTAAACGAATGTTTCCAACTCTTCCTCCCCGGCACCTGCAGAAGCTGGCCTTGGCTACGGATGCAGATTTCCTGTGCAAGCTGGCTCCTCTCCTAGTGCCTCCTCAGTCACCACAACACAATTTCTCCTGGCCACCTGTAAAGGTTCCCCCTCAGCCTTCACCAAGATCCGCATCACTTCCCTCTTTTATTCTCTCCATCTTTTCCAGTCTCAAACTTTAGCTTCTTCTGGCTACATTCAAACTCCAAAACAATTTAGCTCCTTTCTAAGCAGCTCCCTTTGACCAGCTTCATGTTGTCATCTTGTCCGTTTGGCTTGGACAACGTTCCCAGACCGATCACTTCCCCACTCTCTTCCAGGCTGCCTTGTCACAGCACCTGGGAGACCATCTGCAGCACCCACAAAGATGCAATTTACTCTTGCAGGAAATTAACTCAAATAAACACTCGATGTAAACGTCCTGCAGACACCTTCCATCAGCCTGTTTACCCGTAATGAGCAAGCACCTTGAAACACGTCTCGCTGTTTATCTGGAGAGACCCACGTGACAGGGACAAGACCTGAGCAGGACTGATAGGGAAAAGCAATCTTGGATTCAAACCTGGAGACGCAGCAAAAAATATATCATGTGTTCTCAGCCTTCGGCTTGTAGCATTTGTTCACCACCGTGGCCAAGAAAACGCTTTGACTCCCGACCTGGAATCCTTTCAGCCAAATCATATTCTCCAGCATGAGGAACGAGACTCAAGCTGAAATTTGGCAGCCTGCTATTTCTTAGGGATACCAGCACAGCTTCCAGGAGAAGGGGGGCTTAAATATTCCCACCGTGACGACCTTCCACGGATCTGGTCGCAAATATGGTTCCCACGAGCAGAGGAGCCCGCGTAGTCATCTGCCACTGCCAGCAGACACATAAGAGAAGTGAGGAAAGA